ACCCACCTCGACCTCCCAAAGTGCTGGGATTACAGGCGTGAGCCACCGCGCCCGGCCCCTGCACAATCTTTAAATGTCTTACGATTGTAACTTTGAATTAGCAGAATCCCTGACTGGGAGCACGTGCGGTAGTTGACGAACAGATCATAGCCGTGCAGTTGTTGTAGTTGCAATTGAAGCAATGTGTGAACAAATGCTAATGAGTCTTTCACCACTTTGTATCCTAGGGCTTTTTGCTCTGTTGGGCTGTATTTCATGATTTACATAAAGGTTTTTGCTTTGTGATAATTTACATATTGTAAATATGCTGAATAATTTTGGGGTGTTCAGCCTTTCTTTACTGAAAGAGTGTCTCTTGGAATTTGCCTTCTATTAATTTTGCTTAGCAGTGATTGGAACTCTGACCTGCAAAGATGGTAAAAAAAAAAAAGTGAGGGAAGCATTGATTCAAAGAATCTATATCCACTAACAAAATGGAGGGGCCCTTTTTGTATCTACTGTTGTAGTCATATATGATGTGGACAGATTAAGGTTTTCACTTTTTATGAAGTTCTGTTTCAGTTTTATATGGCATACAAGGAGCTGGGCTCGGTGGCTCACGCCTTTAATCCCAGCACTTTGGGAGGCTGAGGCAGGCGGATCACCTGGAGGCAGAGGTTGCAGTGAGCCAAGACTGTGCCACTGTACTCCAGTCTGGGTGACAGAGTGAAACCCTGTCTCAACACACACACACACACACACACACACACACACACAAGATATGTAAAATTGTTAAGACAGTGTTATGGCAGTGTGTAGCACCAAATTATTTGCTAGTTCTAAATTGTTATTCTGAATATATTTTTCTAAAGTAGTTCTGAATGTGTTAGAATGAACTCCCCTTAATTTGTTAAACTATAAATCCTGTCTAGTCACTGAAATTTGTTTATAGTCCAAAAAAAAAAAAAAAAGTATTAAGAAAGAACTGTCCGACAGGCTGAGGCATGAGAATTGCTTGAACTGGGAGGTGGAGGTTGCAGTAAGACATGAGATCGTACCAGTGCACTTCAGCCTGGGTGACAGAGCAAGACTCTGTCCCTCCCCAACCCTCCCCCACACCCCAGAGAAAGAACTGTCAAGAGTGAAAACTTGCTGGTCAGTGAGAATGAATCACTTACTGGGGGATTGGGACCTTACCATGCTAAGCACTTCTAACAAATTACTTATATTCTTTTATTTGTTGGTAATAATAAGCAGGTAGCAAATAAGGAAAGAGGTCTCTAAGAGTAAATAATTTGTCTAATGCCAGGCAAGTCATAGGTGTCAGGGGGAGTTTTAATTCAGGTCTGTTTAACTCTATTCTTTCTATAAAGCTATGCTTTTTTTTTTTTTTTTTTTTTTTTTGACTTGTATGCCTCATTGAGTGTCAGTACTGAAAGGTGATTCAGATATACCAAGGAACCAAAACTGAAACTTGGCAGAGTTAAACAGTAGCAAACTAAGACCATAGCCTAAGTATGTTCATAGCACTGTATTAAAACATTGCATGCTGTTTATCTCTGAGAAACCCCTACAAAAGAGAGAGAAAAGATAATTTGTCCTTAGGAATTGGTCATGATAGAGGAGGTAGGGATTTGCTTTGGGAATTTCTGCTGATGTGTGGCAGAAGGTTGTACTAACAACATCTGTGCTCTTTTTGGGCAGAGTAAAATAATAATAGTTGAAGAATGAAATGGAAACAGTGATTAAAGTAACTTTTTAAAAAAGGTTATGAATCTTGTACTATTTCTTTTTTTTTTTTTTTTCTTCCTGAGACAGAGTGTCACTCTGGGTTCAGGCAATTCTCCTGCATCAGACTCCAAAGTACCTGGGATTACAGGCATGCACCACCATGCCCAGCTAATTTTTTTTGTATTTTTAGTAGAGACGGGGTTTCACCGTGTTGACCAGGATGGTCTCGATCTCTTGACCTTGTGATCCGCCCGCCTCGGCCTCCCAAAGTGCTGGGATTACAGGCTTGAGCCACCGCACCTGGCCGCTAATACTTTCTTAAAAGTATTGTAAGGGTTAAATAAGTATACAGGGTCTGCATATCACAGAACGCTGGGGAACACCATTTATGTGGAATACAATGTTATACAGCAGAAATGTCATGAATATTTAAGTTTCTTGTACAGCATTTGGTGATAGGTACTCTGGTTGCTGTTTAGCTAATATGTATTAGGACCTACCAAATTTTCAGCAGTCTAAAAGTATGAGTCTTTAAATTATCTCAGTGCCTACCTATCCCCATTTTTTAAATTAGAAAAATGATGCTTATTGTAGAAAATTTGGAAAACAGAAAAATTACACAAAAATATTTACCTCCTCCCAAAGTTTTGAGTGTATTTAAAAAAAATTTTTTTTGGCCGGGCGTGGTGGCTCAAGCCTGTAATCCCAGCACTTTGGGAGGCCGAGGCGGGTGGATCACAAGGTCGAGAGATCGAGACCAATCTGGTCAACATGGTGAAACCCCGTCTCTACTAAAAATACAAAAAATTAGCTGGGCATGGTGGCGCGTGCCTATAATCCCAGCTACTCAGGAGGCTGAGGCAGGAGAATTGCCTGAACCCAGGAGGCGGAGGTTGCGGTGAGCTGAGATCGCGCCATTGCACTCCAGCCTGGGTAACAAGAGCGAAACTCCGTCTCGAAACTCCTTTTTAATTGTGACAGGGCTGGGTGTGGTGGCTCACACCTTGTAATCCCAGCACTTCGGGAGGGCAAGGCAGGCAGATCACCTGTGGTCAGGAGTTTGAGACCAGTCTTGACAACACAGCACAAGTACAAAAACTAGGAGGGCGTGGTGGCACAGACCTGTAATCCCAGGTACTTGGGAGGCTGAGGCCCGAGAATCACTTGAGCCCAAACGTATGCAGTGAGCCAAGATCTGGCCACTGCACTCCAGCCTGGGCAACAGAATAAGACTGTCTCAAAACAAACAAAAAAATTGAGACAGGGTCTTGCTCTGTCACCCAGGCTGGAATGCATTAGTGCAATCAGGCCTCTTCAGTCTGACCTCCCTAGCACAAGCAATTCTCCCACCTCATCCTACCAAGTAGCTGGGGCTATAGGTGTACATCACTATGCCCAGCTAATTTTTTTTTGGTAGGGGCAAGGGATAAATTTTGGATCTCACTGTGTTTCCCAGGCTGGTCTTGAACTTTACTGGGCTCAAACAATCTTCCTGCCTTGTCCTCCCAAAGTGCCGGGGTTACAGGTGTGGGCCACTGTGCCTGGCCCCTAATCTTTTTTTTTTTTGAGACAGAGTCTTGCTCTGTTGCCAGGCGCCAGGCTGGAGTGCAGTGGTGTGATCTTGGCTCACTGCAACCTCTGCCTGCTAGGTTCAAGCAGTTCTCCTGCCTCAGCCTCCCAAGTAGCTGGGACTACAGGTGCACGCCACCAGCTAATTTTTGGGTTTTTTTTAGTAGAGATAGGGTTTCACCATGTTGGGCTGGATGGTCTTGATCTCTTGACCTCGTGATCTGCCTGCCTCGGCCTCCCAAAGTGCTCGGGTTACAGGTGTGAGCCACAGTGCCCAGCCTAATCTCCTTGTTTAATGTCATCTACACTGAGGTAAAATTTTTGTTATTAAAAAAAGAGAAACCTGGCTAGGCACGGTGGCTCATGCCTCTAATCCCAGCACTTTGGGAGGCCAAGGCAGGTGGATTACTTGAGGTCAGGAGTTTGAGACCAGCCTGGCCAACATGACAAAACCCTGTCTCTACTAAAAATACAAAAAAAAAAAAAAATCAGCCAGGTGTTGTGGTGCGCACCTGTTGTCCGAGCCACTTGGGAGGCTGAGGAATGAGAATTGCTTGAACCCAGGAGGCGGAGGTTGTGGTGAGCCAAGATTGCACCACTGCACTCCAGCCTGGGCAACAGAGCAAGACTCACTCACTCTCTCTCTCTCTCTCTGTCTCTCTCTCAAAAAAAAAAAAAAAAAAGAGATCTCATTTACAGTGAAGTGAATGTTGAAATATTTGATAAAGGTGTAGGGCCAATGAAATTAAGATACAGGGATAGAGCATTTCGCTCCCAAAAGCTTTTTGTCTATTTGGAAAAAGTATGCCTACCTTCTCTAGTTTTACATAATTGGGATTCTGTGATATCACTTTTATATCCTGTTTTCACTTGCCATTATATAGTGACAATGTTCTATATTATGAATTCAACACTTTAATTTTCTTTTTCTTCTTTTTTTTTCTTTGAGACAGTCTCATTCAGTCGCACAGGCTGGAGTGCAGTGGCGTGACCTTGGTTCACTGCAACTTCTACCTCGTGGTTCAAGCAATTATGCCCCAGCCTCCTTAGTACTGGGGTTACAGGTACATGCCACCATACCTGGCTAATTTTTGTATTTTTAATAGAGACAGGGTTTCACCATATTGGCCAGGCTGGTCTCAAACCCCTGGCCTTATGTGATCTGTTTGCCTTGGCCTCCCAAAATGTTGGGATTACAGGCGTGAGCCACTGTACCTGGTCAGTTTTTTTTTTGAGATAGGGTCTGGCTCGCTGCAGCCTTGAACTCTTTTTTTTTTTTTAGATTATAAAAACTTCCTCTTTAATCAAGGTTTATAAAATCAACAGATTTCTTGAATAAAATGGAAAGTTTCCAGTATGCTGAAACATAAATCTACAAGTCACCATATTTACAACACCCGGCAGAAAAAAACAAAAAAGTTTACACGATCTCTGTAACAGCCATGGTCTTAATCTCAGATGCTTCCTCCATCTGCCAAGTGTGTTCTGGATACACAGCACACTGTGGCTTCTGGGGTCACACTCAGCTGAGGCTGTGGGTCCACAGAGCACTCACCAGGCTGGGCTCTACTCAAGAAGCAAAGCAGTTACCAGCACATTCAAACAGTGTATTGAACATCTTTTAAATATCAAAGTGAGAAACAAGAAGGCAACACAATAATGTCATCAGAAAGATGTTAGGAAGTAAGGACAGCTTGATGCTGAAAAGTGGCTTGCCAGCTTCATTTCTTTGGCTTCTTGGGTAGTGGGCGCCGGAACAGCAAGATATGAGGTTCTAGTTCATGGATCATGTAAGGGACCCAACCCTGACTCTGTTGAACGCCAAGATTCCTCCATTCAGATTCAGACCTCAAATGGGTTTTAGGGACCAGCTTGGCTATGTCCTTGGGCAGCATGACATGCTGATACTCAAACTCCTTGTTGTTGTAGTTGTCCGAATAGTAAATTTGTTTGTGCGACACGATCGCTCCGTCTGCTAGCCTTCAGCCCTGCGCGGCCAACCTCCAAGCAGCTCCCAGCAGCACCAGCCTTGAACTGTTAAGCTCAGGTGATCCTCCCGCCTCAGCCTCCCAAGTAGCTGGGACCACAGGCAGGAGCCACCAGGCTTGGCTAATTATAAAAATTTTTGTAGAGATGGGGTTTTGACATTTTGCCCAGGCTGGTTTGGAACTCTTGAGCCAAAGTGATCCACGCACCTCAGCCTCTCTAAGTGCTGGGATTACCAATGTGATCAGTGCTATCTATATCTTGGATTCTATGCTAAATGCCATAAATCCAATAGTAAATAGGGTAGATACTCTGTGGGTATAGTTTTTCTCTAACTTATTTTTGTAAAATATTACATGCATATAAAAAAAACAAATATGGAAAGTGAAAAGAAGAAAGTAAAAATCACCTGAAATCTAACAACCTATTCTTTTTTTTATTTTTTTATTTTTGAGACGGAGTTTCGCTCTTGCTACCCAGGCTGGAGTGCAATGGCGCGATTTCGGCTCACCGCAACCTCCACCTCCTGGGTTCAGGCAATTCTCCTGCCTCAGCCTCCTGAGTAGCTGGGATTACAGGCACACGCCACCATGCCCAGCTAATTTTTGTATTTTAGTAGAGACGGGGTTTCACCATGTTGACCAGCATGGTCTCGATCTCTTGACCTCGTGATCCGCCCACCTCGGTCTCCCAAAGTGCTGGGATTACAAGCGTGAGCCACCGCCCCCGGCACAACCTAGTCTTAAAAAATAAAATTTAATAGAGGTAAATACAGGCTCAATTTTGGCAAATCAGCTGTGTAAATGGAGGATAGGGGAATATACCATAACTAATAGCAGGACCTGGCATAGAAACTTCTTGATTGCTTTAATTTTTTCTTTTATTTATTCAATTCAGGAAATGAGATAAATTTAAGTGACTCTAAGCTCTTAATAAGGAAAACTGTGACATGAAAAATGGAAGAAATTTGGCCAGTAGTGCCTGAGGAAGGAAACAGCTTAGCATATGTTAGCCACATCTTAAGTGTTTACAGTTTTAGGGAAATGAAAGTGGGCTTATTTTGTGTAGTTGTGCAGGAGGTACCCTTGCATCTCAGGATATTAATGGGAGGCACGTTTGTTTCCATATTAAGGAAGGACTTACATTCCTGGTCTGCTTGTGAAAGAGTAACACAAACAAATCTCCATTTTCCTAAACCTGGACTATTTGAAAAGAGGCTAAAAGTTGACTAGTGAGGCATTTTGTATATGTATTAAATTGTAGCAGATAAATTCTGGAGTCTTTAAGGATCTTAGATTTGTAAGAATCTGCTATTTCAGGGACAGTATTTACAAATGATATGAGTGTGGATAAATCGGAGAACCTCCATTCAGAGCAGCTTGACACCAAGAAATTGGCCTGTTGGGATGTGGCAGTTTACTGGGCTGAAGGGTAGGGTATGTAAATAATGTACCAGCTAGAGAGTAGACACTGGACCATGTTACACTTTAATATCTTAATATTTATAGAGGAAAGGTGCTGTGTAACCTAATATATGATAACATTCTGTCAACATGCCTATAGAATAAATAGGCCATTCTTTTATGATTGGCAAAAGTGAGTCTCAAATATTTATCAGGATTGGATTAAGAGACTTCATTACTGGTCTTCAGAGAAGAGACTAACATTCAGTTTCCCTTTGTTTTTAAGTGCTGTCTACCATATTATTGCTTCTCATTGGAATTGGGCCTTTGAGATAAATAATTGATTATGGTTGCAAAAGGAGTGTTTTGCATCTTCAAAACACTTTGGTTTGAAGATGAGCTGATTATTTTATTCTCAACATTGTCTTTCTACAGCTATTCTAATATTGTCTCCTAGGGATATTTCGAGTACTTAGTTGAAGAAAAGTTTGCATTGTGGACCTCTTGGCGTTAATAGCTACCTGCTTAAAAATTCAAAAATCCTCTCATATATTGTCTCATTTGGTTCATTTAACAATCCAGTGAGGTAGGTCTCAGGTTTACCCGTCCACGAATGTGGATATCTTTCCGTTTATTTAGATCTTCTTTAATTACTTTCAACGTATGTTTTTCAACGTGTGTTTTTTTTGAGACGGAGTTTCGCTCTTGTTACCCAGGCTGGAGTGCAATGGCGCAATCTCGGCTCACCGCAACCTCCGCCTCCTGGGTTCAGGCAATTCTCCTGACTCAGCCTCCTGAGTAGCTCGGGTTACAGGCATGTGCCACCATGCCCAGCTAATTTTTTGTGTTTTTAGTAGAGACGGGGTTTCACCATGTTGACCAGGATGGTCTCGATCTCTTGACCTCATGATCCACCTGCCTTGGCCTCCCAAAGTGCTGGGATTACAGGCGTGAGCCACCGCGACCAGCTCAACGTGTTTTTTACATGTTAAAAGCAATTAAAGTATGAAGACATTTTGTAGTTTTCATAGTGTTAGTTTTATACTTTATTAAATTTATTCTTAAAGTGTAGTATTCTCTTTGATGCTATTGTGAATATAATTATTTTCTTAATTTCATTTATGGTTATTCATTGCAAGTGTATACAAATACAGTTGATTACTGAATATTGATCTTGTATCCTGCTACATTGCTAAATTGATTAATTCCAGTAGTTTGTTTTTGTTTGAGACTGAGTTTTGTTCTTGTTGCCCAGGCTAGAGTGCAATGGCGTGATCTCGGCTCACTGCAACCTCTGCTTCCTGGGTTCAAGTGATTCTCCTGTCTCAGCCTCCCCAGTAGCTGGGATTACAGGCAGGTGCCACCATGCCCAGCTAATTTTGTATTTTTAGTAGAGACGGGATTTCTCCATGTTGGTCAGGCTGGTCTTGAACTTCCAACCTCAAGTGATCTGCCCACCTCGGCCTCCCAAAGTTCTGGGATTACAGGTGTGAGCCACCGCGCCTGGCCAGTTTTTTTAGAGGGTTCATTAAGATTTTCTGTAGATGATAGTTTCTCTTCCCATATCTAAAGGTTTCATTCACCCATAGTCAACTGCCTTCAAAACTATTAAGGGGAAAAATCCAGAAATAAACAGTTTGTTTTAAATTGTGTGCTATTCTGAGTATTGTGGTGAAATCTGTCTCCATCTCACTGTATCCTGCCTGAAATGGGAATCATCCCTTTGTCCAGTGTATCAACGCTCTGTACACCTGCCTGTCAGTCATTTAGTAGCCCTCTTAACTGTTATAGTACCCAGTATTACGGTGCTTGTGTTCTGGTGACTCTGTTTTAATTAAGAAGGTCCACAAAGCTCAAAGAGTGGTGATGCTGGTGGCATATCTTTTATCATTATTTTATTATTAGTTATTGTTGCTGATATCTTTCTGTGCCTAATTTATAATTTAAACTTTATCATAGGTATGTATGTATAGGAAAAACATAATATGTAGGGTTCAGTACTGTCTGTGGTTTTAGGCATCCACTGAGATCCTGGAACCTCATGAGCTCATGCCGTCTGTAAATAGTTTTACTCCTTCCCTTCTGATTTGGATGCCTTTTATTTTGTTTTCTTGCCCAATTACCCTTGCTGGAACTCTGAGTATAATGTTGGACGGATGTAGTGATTATAGGCACCCTTGTCTTATTCCTCACCTTAGATATCCTTGTTTTATTCCTGATCTTAGGGAGAAATTCAGATTTTAACCATAAGTATGATGTTATCTGTGGGTCTTTTTAAATCGTTTATCAGGTTGAGGAAATTTCTGTTTCTCTTTTTTTGAGTCTTTTTATCTGAAATAAAGGCATGTTGAATTTTGTCAAATGCTTGTTCCACATCCATTGAGATGATCATGTGGTTTTTGTCTTTCATTCTATTGATAGGGTATTTTACACTAGTTAATGTTTGAGGTGAATGAAAATGAAGACGCAACATACCAAAATCTATGTGATGCAACTAAAGCAATATTTAGAGAAAAATGTACAGCTATACATGCCTGTTTTAAAAAGGAAGAAATATCTCAAATCACTAACAACCTTGCATTCATGAGATAACTGTCACTTGTTCATGGTATATAATGCATGTAAAATACTGCTGGATTCAGTTTGCTAGTACTCGGTTGAGAATTTTTGTCTATATCCATAAGGGATATGGGCCTGTGGTTTTCTTGTGATGTCCTTGTCTGTTTTTGGTATTAATACTAAACCTTATGAAATAGGTTGAGACATGTTTCCACCCTTTTTTGTTTTTTGGAACACTATTTGAAGGAATAATATTAAATTTTCTTTTAAATGTTTGGTAGAATTGACCAGGTAAAGTCATCTGGATGTGGGCTTTTCTTAGATACTCTTGATTCAATATCTTCATTTGTTAGAGGCCTGTTCAGGTTGTCTGTTTTTTCTTGAGTCAGTTTCAGTAGTTTCTGTGTTTCTAGGAATTTGTTTCATCTAAATTATTTATTAGTTTATAGTTGTTTATAGTCTTCCCTTATAATCCTCATTTCTGTAATCCTTTTGCCTCCCTCTAACTCCTGATTTTATTCTGTTAATTAATTTTTTTGAGATGGAGTTTCACTCTGTTGCCCACAGGCTAGAGTGCAGTGGTGCGATCTTAGCTCACAGCAACCTCTGCCTCCCTAGTTCAAGTGATTCTTCTTCCTCTGCCTCCTGAGCGCCACCATGCCTGGCTAATGTTTTTGTATTTTTAGTAGAGACCGGGCCATGCTGGTCAGGCTTGTCTCAAGCTCCTGACCTCAAATGATCTGCCTGCCTTGGCCTCCCAAAGTGCTGGAACTACAGGCATGAGCCACAATGCCTGGGCCTCCTGATTTTAATAGTTTGAGTCTTTTCTTTGTTTGTAGACATTCTAGGTAAAAGTTTGTCAGTTTTGTTTATTTTTTTTTAAAGAACCAGCTTTTGGTTTTGTCTGTTTTTCTCAGTTGTTTTTCTATTCTCTATTTACCCCTGCTCTAATCTTTATTATTTCTTTTCTTCTGCTTGCTTTATTTAGTTTTTATTTTGCTCTTCTTTTTCCAGTATCTTAAGGTGAAAGGTTAATGATTTGAGATATTTCTTCCTTTTTAAAACAGACATTTATAGCTGTACACTTTTCTTGAAATACTGCTTTAGTTGCATCACATAGATTTTGGTATGTTGTGTCTGCATTTTCATTCATCTTAAAGTATTTTCTAGTGTCCTTTGTGATTTCTTCATTGACCCATTAGTTACTTAGAAGTGTGTTTAATATGCACATATTTGTGAGTTACCCCACTTTTTTTTCTGTCACTGTTTTCTAATTTCATCCCATTGTAGGTGGAGACCATATATTAGGTTGGTGCAAAAATAATTGTGGTTTTTTGCCATTACTTTAAGTGGCAAAAACCGTGATTACTTTTGCACCAGCCTAATAGGATTTAAATTTTTTAAAAGTTTATTGAGGTTTGGTTTATGTCCTAGTGTATAGTCTGTCTTAGAGAATGTTTCTTACACACTTAAGAATGCTATTGTTAGGCCGGGCGCGGTGGCTCAAACCTGTAATCCCAGCACTTTGGGAGGCCGAGGAGGGTGGATCACGAGGTCGAGAGATCGAGACCATCCTGGTCAACATGGTGAAACCCCGTCTCTACTAAAAATACAAAAAATTAGCTGGGCATGGTGGCGCGTGCCTGTAATCCCAGCTACTCAGGAGGCTGAGGCAGGAGAATTGCCTGAACTCAGGAGGCGGAGGTTGCGGTGAGCCGAGTTGCACTCCAGCCTGGGTAACAAGAGCGAAACTCCGTCTCAAAAAAAAAAAAAAAAAAAAGAATGTTATTGTTGTTAGGTGAAATACTCCACAGATGTGTGTTAGGTTTAGTTGGTTTATAGTTTTTTTCAAGTGTTTGATTTCCCTGTTGTTTTTCTGTTTCATTCTATTCATTGAAAGTGGGGTATTGCAGTGTCCAAGCAATTGTTGAATTTGTTTTCCTTTTATTACTTTTTGCTTTATATATTTTAGGCTCTGTGTGTGATGTACATATGCTTAAAATGTTACATCGTGTTGATCTGTTATCCCCTTTACCATTATAAAATGCCCTTCTTTATTTCTTTTGTTTAAAGTCTATTTTGATATTAGTATGGCCACTACAGCTTTCTTGTGGTTGCTGTTTGTATGATGTCTTTTATTTTCAATTCTTTTGTATCTTTGAGTCTAATGTATGTCTTTTGTAGGCAGCATATAGTTGAATTTTGTTTTTTATTCAGCCCAACAC